AAAAAAAAAAAAAAAAAAAAAAAAAAAAAAAAACTACAGGGCTGACAGCCAAGAGAAATGAGGGCACATGTGCACTGAAAGACACATACAAGAATGTTCACAACCGCCTAATTCAAGACAGTTCCAAACAGGGAACTACTTAAATTTCTATCAACTGGAGAATATTACTCTAAGGAAATAGTACACAGCAATGGAAAAGAATGAACTATTGATATAATCTGGATAAATCTCACAGACATTAAGTTGGGTGAAAGAAGACAGACACAAAAAGGCACATACTGCATCACTCCATTTATAGGAAGTTCAAGAACAGGCAAAACTAATTGGAGGTGAAAGAAACCAGTATAGTGGCTACGTCAGCAGATGAATATTGGCTGAGAAGGAGCATGAGATGTTTAGATCTACCTCTCAGCTGTGCATTTAGGATGCATGGGCTTTCTTGTATATAAGTTATACTTCAGTTTAAAAAAAAAGAAAAAAAGAAAAAGACAAAAATAGAAAATAATAAAAATAACATACAACTGTGTGTATGTGTGTGTCTATTCAGAGAAAGCTCTGCCAGGATATACTCCAAGCTAGTGATGGTGATTATTTCTGCGGAGTGGAGTGGTGGGCTGGAGATGGGTAGAAAGTGGAGAATTCTTTTATTATTTGCTCTAAGAGGCTTGAATTATGTATAATGAGCATGAATTACTTGTAAAAATTTTTAAAGCAACTCAAAACGAGTAAAGGAACACACACAGATTCTCAGGCCCCAGTCCATATGTGCTGAACCAGAATTTCTACCAGGAACCCCAGCTCTGATCCAAGCCCTGCTTTTCTAGCATTGTGCTCTTGCCTACCCCCAGTGATGGGGATTTCACTGCCTCCCAGAGGTTTAGAAATATCCTTCCTATTATGTTGCCTCTGATCCTTCGTCTTCAAGTAAAAACCCTTTGCATCTTTCCATCTGCCCCACTGCCCAAATGGAGCCCCATGATACTTACCAACTGACAGGGAGCCTCGAGCCAGTTTGGGGAGCAGCAGGTCGAGCTGGCGGAAGGTGTGGAAGACGTCAGCTGAGTGGACACGGTCCTGGGCCTGGCTCTGATGGGTTTGTGGCGATGCCTCGACTCCATACAGTGTCAGGTAGCCAGCCCTTGGGGCAACAAACAGCAGGTCAGGGGTCATTGTTGGTCACTGTGATATTGTAAACATACATATTTGGTCTTCATCCCCATCTCCTGGCATATAACTCCTAAAATCCTTAGAATCTCCAAAGTGATAAGAGTCTATTTATATGCTAATAATGGCTGGCATCCCTAGGCAGCTTCAGGATGGGGTCTGGTCACAGGAAGGACCAAGGCAGGACTTTAAGTCCCACCCCCACAGCCTCCAGGGAGGGAAGAGGGACTGAAGGTTAAGTTGATCACCAGTGGCCAATGATTTAATCAATCATGCCCGTGTCATGAAGCCTCCATAATAACCCAAGAGCCCTGGGTTCAGGGAACTTCCTTCCAGATATCTGAACACATGGAGGTTCCTGGAGGTGGGTGGGCTCGCAGCAGGCATGGAAGCTTCATGTCCCTTCTCCACACCTTGCCCTATGCATCTCTTTGTCTGTATCCTTTATAATATTCTTTATAATAAACTGGTAAACGTAAGTACATGCTTCTTTGAGTTCTGTGAGCTACTCAGGCAAACTAATCAAACCCAAGGAGGGGGCTTAGGAACCCTGATCTATAGCTGGTTGGTCAGAAGTTCCAGAGGTCTGAACTTACGACTGGCATCTGAAGTGGGGGCAGTCTTGGGGACTGAGCCCTCAACCTGTGGGATCTGATGCTATTTCCAGGTAGATAGTGTCTGAATTGAATTGAATTAGAGGACACCCAGCTGGTGTCCACTGGAGAATTGCTCACTTGCTCACCAGTGGGCAGAAATCTCCACACATTTGGTCACAGAAGTCAGTCTCTGTGCTGATGACTGTTGTGCGAAATCAGAGGTAGGACAGAGTGTTTGTTCCCACTTACACACTTACTCGAACACTCACGGCCAAACACTCCCACGGAAGCTTACAAGCGTTTCTTCATTCATCCACCTAGTAAGCACCAACGAGCCCTACTGTATGCCAGGGACTGTTCTGGGTGGTGTAGGGGGGTCAGTAGTGAATAAAACAGACAAAAACCCCTGTCCTCATGGAGCTGATGCTGCAGCACAGGAGAAAGATGACAGACAAGAGGAAGGAGTAAAACAGGGAATGTGTCGGCTGGTGCTCAGTGGTGCTGTCAAACATACAGCTGGGTGACAGGGTGGGGAGTGTGGGGAGTGATGTTTAACGCATGGGGAAGGAGGTGCTCACATCTGAGCAGAAACTTGAAGGGTGAGAATGAGCCAGCATGGGGAGAAGAACAGAGGGAGGGGGTTCGAGGCAGAGCAAACAGCAAGTGCAAATGTCCTGGGGCAGGAAGGAGCCATGACAAGGCTGGTGAGGCTGGAGCAGCGTGAACAAGGGGGACAGTGGGTAAGATTGGGGCACAGATCAGGACAGGAGACATTGGCCCTGGACAGGCATTCAGGGCAGGATTCCTGGAGGAGGCAGAGTCTGAGCTGAGACCCACAGGATGAGCAGGGAAAGGTGAAGGCATTTGGTCAGAGGGCACAGCCTGTGCAAAGGCCCAGAGCCAAGGGAGCAACCATAGCCTGGGCAGAGCTGCCAGGTGTCACTGGGTGGGTGCTGGAGCTGGAGTGTGAGGGGAGAGGGTGGGAGAGGTCTGGGAGTTGTGATGCAGAGAAGGGAGAAGGTTGGGCTTGACCTGAGCAGCGCTGGGAAGTCTGAGCAGAAGAAGGACAGGACCTGGCAGGTGTGGAAAAGAATGAGACACAGGAGCTAGCACGTGCCCTCGCTAAGACCTGGCCCCCACCCCGGCCCCTGCAGGAATGCTCTCAGAGGAAATGTCTTCACCATCAGCCACCTTTTAATGCTCTAGCCCCAGCCCAGACCCTGAAGCCCTGACCTCCACCCCACCTCCTTGAGCTTCCTATTCATGGATCTCCCAGGAGAGGGGTTTTCTCAGAAAGGGAGAGGGTGGAAGTGGAAATGAGGGAGAATGGGGGCCAAAAGAGACTGGTCTAGTCCCCACACTGTCCCTCACTTGTACAGTGCAGGCAAGTAGTAGGCCCTCAATAAATGTTCAATGGATGGATGGATAGATTGGTAGATGGAGGGATGAGTGGATGAGAGATTGGTGAATGGAGGGATGGGTGGATGGATGAATAGATGGATGGACGGGTGGACTGGTGGGTGAATAGATGGATGGACGGGTGGATGGATGAATAGATGGATGGACGGGTGGACTGGTGGGTGAATAGATGGATGGACGGGTGGATGGATGAACAGATGGAAGGACGAGTGGACTGGTGGATGAATAGATGGATGGACGGGTGGACTGGTGGGTGAATAGATGGAAGGACGGGTGGACTGGTGGGTGAATAGATGGATGGACGGGTGGACTGGTGGGTGAATAGATGGAAGGATGGGTGGACTGGTGGGTGAATAGATGGATGGACGGGTGGATGGATGAACAGATGGAAGGACGAGTGGACTGGTGGATGAATAGATGGATGGATGGGTGGACTGGTGGATGAATAGATGGAAGGATGGGTGGACTGGTGAATGAATAGATGGATGGATGGGTGGATGGATGAATAGATGGAAGGACGAGTGGACTGGTGGGTGAATAGATGGATGTACAGGTGGATGGATGAATAGATGGAAGGACGAGTGGACTGGTGGATGAATAGATGGATGGATGGGTGGACTGGTGGATGAATAGATGGATGGATGGGTGGACTGGTGAATGAATAGATGGATGGATGGGTGGATGGATGAATAGATGGAAGGACGAGTGGACTGGTGGGTGAATAGATGGATGTACAGGTGGATGGATGAATAGATGGAAGGACGAGTGGACTGGTGGATGAATAGATAGATGGATGGGTGGACTGGTGGATGAATAGATGGATGGATGGGTGGACTGGTGAATGAATAGATGGATGGATGGGTGGATGGATGAATAGATGGAAGGACGAGTGGACTGGTGGGTGAATAGATGGATGTACAGGTGGATGGATGAATAGATGGAAGGACGAGTGGACTGGTGGATGAATAGATGGATGGATGGGTGGACTGGTGGATGAATAGATGGATGGATGGGTGGACTGGTGAATGAATAGATGGATGGATGGGTGGACTGGTGGATGAATAGATGGATGGGTGAATGAGGATGGATAGGTGGGTGGATGAATGAATGGATGGATGGATGGATAGACTGGTGGATGAATAGATGGATGGGTGAATAGATGGATGGGTGAATGAAGGGCGGGATAGGTGGGTGGAAGGATAAAAGGATGGGTGGATGGAGGGATGGGTGGATGGGTGAATTGGTGAGTGGATGGATGAATAGATGGATGGATGGATGGACTGGTGGATGGATGGGTGAATGAAGGGATGGGTGGATGGGCGGATGGAGGGATGGATGAATGGTAGGATATATGGATAGTTAGAACTTAATCCTGAGAACACTGATTTTGGGTTATCATGATTACAATCTCAGAGTCACCTAGGCCGTCATCCCACCTTCCCCTACATCCCACTCACCTCCCCCTTATCCAGTCTTGGCTTCCACACCCTCAGGGATGGAGAGTGCATGACCTGGTCATCCCAGTGGATGAAGAAGCAGCAAGCCTTCCTTCCGAACAGCTAAAACAGCTCCTCTGGAGTCAACCCTCCAGCCCTCTTCGTGCCTCTGCTTCAGCCCAGAAGGATTCTCTCCCTTTCCTCCTCCATGCACATCAGGCCCTGGGCCCCACTTCTTCGACTAAGGCCCTCAGTTTCCTTATGGCAGAAGCTGTGAAGGTGCAGCCCATGAACTGGATTCAGTCCACAAACGTGTTTTGTCTAGTCAGTAGAGTTTTCCTAAAAACCAACTGAAGCTACAGTCAACCATTTGGGGAAACTCACACAAAATCTGGATTTCCCACTCATCTAATGTTGAAAAAGGAACCTGGTGCCCTATATCCGCAGTCCCACCTGGCAACCCCGGGCACAAGCAGTCACAGCCACCTCCTTTAGATGGCACGGGCTTGGTGGGCCACCTTGATCCTTACCAGGCCCCATGATCTTCATGACACTTCGGTTAAACACCAGTCATTTATCATTCCAATTGCACTGATATTTTTCCTAAAGCAGAGAACAATTTCCCTGTACATATATTTCTACAAATAAAAGGCAATGAAAAACAAACCAAAAAATAAGCCCAGAGGACCACCTTCCCATGGCACCTCTGTATCAAAATAACTCAGTTGAAAACACTCAATAATCACACATGTAAATACACACACGACCCATAGGTGGCACCATGTGCCACACAAAAAACAGAGCTGGAGCAGAGCTGGGGTAACAGGAGAGGGCCATGATGTTAAATGGGGGGCCAAGAAAGGCCTCTCTGAGCAGGTGACACTTGAGACTGGAACGAAGTGAGGTGGGAGCCACGCAGACATGTGGCGAACGGCATTCCTGGGTGAGGAAACAGAAACTGCAGAGGCCCCAGCGGGGAGCCTGCCTGGGCTGTTCACGAGGTGGCGAGGCGGCCAGGGATAGAACCCTGGACGTGACTCGCATGATGCAGGGGCCCACACAGAACAGTTGGAAGGTTTAATAGGTGGCACCTCATGGTCTGGGCCGTGTGAATCTGCATCTCCACCTGTGTCCCCGCCACCCAATTCACGCACTCCTTTTCTATTTCAGGGGTTGCAGATGGCAGAGAAAAGGCCTGTGCTGGCAAGACAGGAGGCAGGAGCTCAAGCCTAGGCCTCAGGCCCTGGAGACACAGGTATCGATTTACAGGTGTGGATCCACAGGTGCGGATTTACATCTGACTCAGCCTACACTGTGCCTGCTGAACTGCAAGGCCTGGACAGACCCAGCTGCCACCACCTCGCCCACCTCCCCCAGTCCCACTGCTTCCTCTCTGACTTCTTTCCCACACAGGGACACAGGGTAGCCAGGAGACCTGGGAGTTACCCCGCCATGAACTTGCTGGCTGGTTTTTGCTGCCCGTCTCTGGACCTGCACCCATCACAAATGACAGACTGGACCAGACCGGCATCACTCTGGCCAATTACAGCCCTTGACAGTTTTTGCACCACTCCAGGGCGAGATGAGAAGAATGGGGGTGATTTACATGTGGAGAGTGCAGGCTCTGGAGCCAGCCCTGCCATGACGCCAACATGGGACTCAGTTTTCTCATCTGTTGAATAAGGGGTGTAAAGAACTAGCCACATAGAGCTGCTGTGAGTGTTACGTGAGTTAACACACACGTTTAGTCTACACATATGCACACACATGTGTCATAAATGTACCCACATACCTGTATGCATCAGGGAATGGCTCCCCTTTATTGTGAAACTATGTTGGTTGAGTTTTTTGGAGAGATTGAGAAGCCCTTTCTTTTATAGAATACTGGTCAGTTAATGGCACCACCAAAAATCAAGGAGCTGTCTTAATACACTTCATCCCTCACTGCCCACGGCCACCTCTCCTATCCCCACCCCCGCCCCAATCAAATCTTTCACAGGTCTTATCAACTCTGTCTCCAAAAGTTACCCAAATTCCTGCCATCTCCCTGGTTCAGGCCACCATTCTCTCTCACCCCGGTAACTACAGCAGTCTCCTAATGGGTCCTCTGCCTCCCTTTCATCCCCACCCCCCCACCTATGGTCTATTCTCCATCTAGCAGCTGAAGGGAGCTTTGACACTCGTAAGTCAGATCACGTCATGTCCCTGTTTAAGTCCCTGAAGTCAGCGCGTTTTACTGAGAATACATTACAAAGCCTTCTGTGGCTTAGTGGCTCAGTGACACCTGGCTCCGCCAACTCCTCTGACCTCATCCCCACCCTCCTGCCTTGGCTCTTGATGCTCCAGTCATGCTGGCCCCTTTGCTACGCTTCCTCCTGCCTCTGGGACTTTGCACTTGCTGTTTCCTCTGCCCGGAACTGTGGCACGGTGGGCACCCTGTGCTTAGGTCTTGGCTCTGAGGCCAGATCCTCAGAGCGGCCCTCCTTATCCGCCTGATGCTTTTGCCTGTCTGTGGGTCTCTGTCATCATGTTCATCTCTCTCTGACATAACCACACTAGAGTGTCAGCTCCATGAGTTTCAGGGCTTCATCTGTCCCTTTCCCTGCTGTATCCCCAGAGTCCAGAGAGAGACTGGCACTGCCAAAGGAAGGAACATTTGGTTGTAGGATTTTTCATATGTTTACAAGGTCTGGTAAAAGGTTAAGGTCCTGGGTTGGTCTCCCAAACTCCCAAACATTCTGTTTTTCTGACCTGTGAAATCCCAAAGTCTGGAAGCCACAGGACAAGATGTTCTCTGAAGTTTTGCTCTGCTACTCCCTCTCTGGGTGACTTGCAAGGCCCTTTGCAGCTGGCGTCTCCTTTACAGCTCATGGGCTGGGTGAGGTGAATACCTGGGGTCCCAGATGTTCCCAAATGTCTTTCCTGCAGTCTTTGCTCTGAGTGTCCCAAACTGCTTCCCTCACCCACAAAGTCCTCCTGGTTCCCTTGACCACTGCTCATGGCCAACACGGATCCAGAGTGCTGAACTCCACCCAGGACAGTGGGGGCTGCATGGCTTACCTTAGCAGGAAGCTGTAGGAGAAATCAAAGAGACCCATCTCACGCCAGTCACCACCCACTTCCGCAGCGTCGCCCAGCAGGACAGTGCGCAGGTTGGTATACATTGCTTCCGTGAGTGCCTGGAGGTCTCTGTGGAGGAGAGTCCTGAGGCAGGAACAAAAGTGTGAGAGTTCAGCTTCCAAAGGGAAATATAAACCCCTAGGGACCTCCCTCCCCAAACCTCAGGGTCCCAGCGCTCAAGTTCCCCATTGGCAATGGGGGCCTGTGAAGACTGGTTTAAACAAAATCATATGATTACTACTATCATCAACAGCCACGATAGTTACCAGTTACTATGCTAAGCATAATGATCTCATTTCATCTTCTGGAAAACCTAGGAGAAACTCAGGAACAGAAAGGAAAGTGACTTGCCCAAGGTCACACAGCCTGTAAGTGGTACAGCCAGGAATGAAACTCCAATCTGCCCAACTCCAGAGACTGAACTCTTAACCAGGGTAATCCATCCCTCCTCGGGACACATGAGCTTGGATAAGGGACCCGCAGCCTTCTGGAAAAGAAGGAACTAAAGCTAACTCTTTCTCCCTGAAATTCAAAGATAGGGAGACTTATTTGGATAGTTAAGGTGTCCCCTGGCCAAGGACTGCTAATAAGACATGACCCCAGGTGAACTTGACATGAGGAAAAAGGAATCTGGGCTCACGGGACCCAGGATACTCAAGCTCAGAAATACTCCTAGCCACTGTCCCAGAGGCCAAGGTCAGACGGGGTATCACCTTTTGTCAACGTCCACCTTATAATGCTGGCCTTGCCTAGGCTTTAGGTATCCTGCAAAATACAGGTTTCCGGGTGCTTTTCTTAACTCAAGGAGGCTATTCTTCGTGGAGACAGATCATTGGAGATTACCATCAGATTGTGTGAACTCTGTAGGGGCAGACACGGGTCTTATTTTTCTCACTCTCTCAGGCGGAGAAGAATAGGCTGTGGATCAGCAGACCCAGGTTCTGATCCCAGCTCTACCACTTACTCGCAGTAGACCTTAGGCACATCTCTTCACTTCTCTGAGCCTCAGTTTCCTCATCTGTAAAATACAGATAAAAATCCCCACCTCTTGAGGCTAAGGCACAACAAAGGCCATCAAACACCTGGCGTATGGCAGCTATCTTCAGAGTGGTTGACATCATTCTGCATCCCTTGCACGTGGGACAATGACCAGGACATAGAAGGTCCTTAGATGTCTGCTGAATCAATGCATGGTAAATGTGCTCACATGTCCACTTGTTGACATAATTACTCCTGTGTTTCAGGAGCTGCACTGCTTCCTAGCTTTGTGGCCTGCCTAAGGCAAGTCACTTCTCTGCGCCCTGTGTCCTCATCTGTAAAATGAGGCTGTAAGTTACTTAGCCTCCAGTGCTGTTGAGAAGACTAATAAGATAACACATGAGGCCCAGCACAGAGTATGGGCTCAAAAATATTCATCACCCCACCTACTCTCCTTCCTTTTACAGATGAGGAAACAGGCTCAGAGAGGGGAAGTAATTTGTCCAAAGTCACACAGCCAGGATGTGGTGAAGCTGAGATTTGAGCCTAGGTCTGACTGACTCAAACCCTCGTCTCCTACTAAAATCAGGGCTGCCTCCCAAAGGAAACAGAGATGAGAGATAAAGAGTTTTTCCTCAGTCCAATTTTTTGGGGTTGTTTTTTGTTTTGTTTTTGTTTGTTTTCTCGAAACAAAATGTCTTTGCTAGACACCTGCTGTGGAGCTGAGCATGACCCACCCAGGGCTTGGGCTATGCAGGTAGAAGCAGGTCGTGCACCTCGGCCCGCCCACAGGTACCATCTGCAGCCACTCACGGTTTCATCCGGGCCTTTTCATCGCTGGGGCTATAATGTGGAAGCTGCACGTCGAAAATCCTCTCCATGAGGAAGATGGCATAGGCGTGGAAGTCCAGCTTGGTGCGCGGCTCCCACACTACCGAGTCATAGGAGTGTGGGTCCAGGAGGACAGTGACATATCTGCCCCCTACCAGTATCTGTAGGAAGTCAGCAAGGATAGACTGAGGACTGTTACCATGAACAACAGGAGCTCTCAAGGGCTTACCCTGTGCCAGACATTGCCCCTCTGGACACTTCATGGACAATGTTCTCTCATCTACCCTTCACGACCACCCTGCGAGGTAGGGACCATCACATCCTTTTATAGCTAAAAAAGTGAGGTTCATATATAATGAGCCCAGGACGTCATAGCTGAGAAGTGGCAGAGCTAGGACTGGAATTCAGGGCTTTTTACACTCAAGGGCTGTGTTCTTTACCATCTCACCCTTAAGCACCCGCCATGGTTATCTTACTTACTGCTATACCTCCAGCAGCTGGGAGACAGCGTGCCTACAGAAGGCAGCAGATGGATGTTGTGTACATTACGGGTAGATGGATGGATGGGTGGATGGATGAAAGGATAAGTGAATGAAAGAGTAAATGGAAGAAAGGAAGGTAGGATGGAAGGAAAGTAGGTTAGGTGTTAGCTACTGGGTAAATGCTACTGGATAGAATGTTATATGGATGGAAAAATGGGAGGATAGATCAATGAATCTGTGTTAGATAGAAAGATGGATGGATGGGTGGCTAGAGGTTAGTTGGAAATTAAATACAGGAATGAATGTTGGGTACATGGGCATCATGATGCTAAGTGGATACTGTGTAAACAGATTAAAGGATGAGTGTTGAATGGATGGAAGTTGGAAGGATACATGGAAAATGAACAGGTGGGTGGTGGTTGTTTGACTAGATGTTGGAGGGATAGATAGATGGAGATATAAGTAGATGTATATCAAGTGGACAGACTTTGGCCATTGAATAGATGGACAGCTGAGTGCTGGGTGGATAATGGAAATTGGAAGTTGGTGGAAGTTGAATACATGGATGAAAGTTGGATGGGTCGTTGGGTACTTGAGTGGAAGAATGCTGGGTAAATTTGGGTAGACGGAAGGATAGATGATGGATAAATGGATGAATACACAGATGTTGGATGAGTATACGGAAAGAGGGATGGATGAGTGAATAGGTGAAGGTTTGATGGAAATGGAATATGTGAATGGACGCTTGGTGGATACTAGGATGGAAGGATGCTGGGGGTGGAGAAAATTGGGTAGAGAGGCAAAAGAGTAGATGCTAAATGTGTAGATGACATTGGACAGATGGGAGTTGAATGGATGGATGGAGGTCAGTTGAATGGATGTACAAGTATTGGGTAGATACTGAATGACTGCATAGCTTGATGTTGGGAAGAGGCTAGAGGGATATTGAAGGGATGTTTGTTAGATAAGCATTGGGCATACAGTTGGATAGCCAGATGGATAGAAAGTCGGCTGGACCACTGGATGGATGTTGGACGGGTGGTTTAGTACATGGACAGATGTTTGGAGGAATCAGTGCACACCAGGTACGAGGCCTGGTGCTCAGCCCCTTCCAGCTGTTCATCCCCTTTCCTCCCAAGAGACACAAGAGGTACTTACAGTAAAGATGTCACCATGCTTCTCCTTCATCCTAGTGAGGAAACTGGCAGCATCTTTTCCAAAGTCCAAGGCATGGCCCAACCAGGGAATGCTGCCACGGTCCAGGGGAGGCTCGCCAGGTCTCCTGTGGAAGCCACAGCACTTATCACCATTGGATGAGGCAAGGAAGGGGATAAAATGTAGGCCGTGAGGTGTGATTTTAAATGGAGAGGTCAGGGCAGGCTTCACTGAGGAGACATTTGAGCCAAGACCTGAAGGCGATGATGGAGGGAGTCATAGAGGTATCCGGGAGAAGAGCCTTCCAGGCAGAGGGAACAGCACGTACAAAGGCCCTGAGGAGGCCAGCATGGCTGTACTGAAGGGGGCAGGAAGAAGTAATGGAAGCTGAGGCCAGAGAGGTAGCCCATGCAGTCCTGCAGGCAGCTGTCAGGACTTTAGCTTTCCCTTTGAGGGAGGTGGGAGCCACGGGAGAGTTTTGAGCAGTGGAAGGACATGATTTGGCTTAGGTTTTTACAGGATCCTTTTGGCTGCTGTGTAGAGAATGGACTGTAGAGAATGAGGGCAGAAGCTGAGGGACCAGTTAGTGTCTGGTACATAGTATGGGGTTCAACAGAGATGGTCTTCTCTCTGCAGGTGGGAGAACCTTCCAGCCCTCAATGGTACAAAGACACAGAGTTCTCTGTCTGAGCCAGCCTGGAGCAGGGTGGTGTTCATCTCACACTCCCTGCCCTGCCACAGAGAAAGGATGAGACTGGAGGGCACAGTCAGGTGGTAGAAGATGGTGGAAGCGCTGGTCCGTCACTGCCCCGACTGCCCATCAGCAGTTCAAAATCTGAGGTGCCTTTGGTGGTGAGAGGCCAGGTCATGGCCTGTAGGGATGTCCCAAGAGTATAGGCTAGCTCAGCCCAGGGGGCGAGAAATTTATGTGTGATATTCAAGGTCGGAGTCACCTGTGAAAGCAGAGGGACTCCTCTGAGAATACAATGGTACTTCAAAAAGTTCGTGGAAAAACAGAATTAAAAAATAATACTAATTTTTCCATGAACTTTTAAAAAGTACTCTCATATCATAATGGTATTTATAGCTCACTGTGGTAGGCAGAATTCTAAGCCGACCCACAACGACCCACGCCCTTGTGTAATCAATCCCCTCCACTGAATGGGGGACAGACAGTGCAGGTGTCCTAACAGGTGGGGACAGGGCTCTTCCTGACAAAAGAGGTTCAAAGCACAAGAGGGATTCGATATTAGGGAAAGTCTCTGCTGCTGGCTTTGACTTCAGCGAGCTGCCCAAATGCACGGCCTGAGATTTTCCCCTAAGACATCTTTGCGGGTTGGAGGAGGTTTCCTTTCCCTGCCCTTTATCCTGGCTGCTGTCAGAGTTCCTCAGAGCAAGGTGTTATTTCTGGCAGCTTTCCTTTTTCCCCAGAAAATTCCCAAGGAGGCGCAGACAAAGGCAGGAAGCTGGGAGCCGTGGCGCCTGACCCCCGATGTGGCTGGCCAGCTTCTCAATCCAACTCGGGCCCAGGCCACATTCCAGGGTGACTCAGGCAGCCAGCAAGGGCGAAGGAGGCTCTATTTTAGGGCCTGCGGTCTCTAGCCTCATCCACTGACACTCTCAGTTTTGAGGCACTGCCAGGCAATGCCTGGAGGCGGTGATGCAGGGCTGGACCCTCCCATCTTGGCCCCCACCCACATGGCCAACTGACTGCCTTCTGTCCATCCTGATCCAGAGACCAAGACACCTTTTCTGATTCTCCTCTGGAGCTTTGATTCTCATCATGTGGGTTCCTCTAAAAACTGCCCCTTTCTCACTCACAGAACCCACCGCCAACCCTGCCATTGCCCTGGGTCTCTATCCAACATGATCCTTTATGAACTGGGGGAGTCAAGGATGGGATGTCCCCCTACCTGTGCCCCTTGACATAATGCATCTTCACTAGATGGGAGTTCCATGAGAGCAGGGACTTGATCACTCCAGAACTTAGAACAGTGCCTGGCACATAGTAGGTGCTTAATAAACATGTGTCAGATGAATGAATCATGTACACAGTCAGTGCTCAATGAGTAGCACATGCTTCCCAGAGTTGCTGAGAGAGTTAAGGGAGCCAATGCAGGTTAAGGGCCTGACACACAGTCCACGTTCTGGATTGCCCAGGCAGAGGCTGGCGTCACGGAGCTGAGCAATATTGGTGGATGGCCAACCTCTCTGTCCAGTAGCTTCAACTCAATGCAGGGCCACAGGCTCTGGGAGGATTTGATGGGGAATAGAAGGGCACGGATTTCTGCCCAGCTGAGCTGGAGCAACCAGAGCTTCTGTTTAATCTGCTTAACCTGTCCTTCCCCCAGGGCTCATCCACAGGCTACTAGGGGTTTCTGTCTGCTGTTTTGGAGGGTTTTCTTTTAAAAGATGACCGGTAAGGGGATCTTAACCCTTGACTTGGTGTTGTCAGCACCACCCTCTCCCTAGTGAGCCAACCAGCCATCCCTGTATAGGGATCTGAACCCGTGGCCTTGGTGTTATCAGCACCACACTCTCCCGAGTGAGCCACGGGCCGGCCCTTCTGTCTGCTGTTAATGGAGGGTCTCCCTTCTGCTCCTCCATGCTTCCCCCATTGCTCCCACTGTATAGAAAAAGCATGTGGCCTTCTTGCTCTGGTTTTCATTTTCCTGTTTTTGAAATAGACACAAATTCAGAGAGTTATTTCTCAACATAAGAAAAAAACCAGGAGATGAAGTACAGTGATAAAGAGAGCAGCTTCGTGTTGGAGTGCAATGGGAAGTGGTGGGGACTGTGGCAGGTTCAGAGAGGGCTCTACCAGTGAGGCCCAGGAAAGCGTTACCAGATCTTCCAATTTTTCATAAGAAGCTGGAAATCTGGATTTTTATATATGGAATCCCCCAATTTTTTCCCCTTCTACTGTGAGGTACAAACCAGACCCATCCAGGGCTGAATTTAGCGATGGACCACTGTTTGGTGACCTCTGGTTAGCACATGTTAGAATGAGACAGATTTATTTTTGCCTAGAATTTCTGCATCCTGCAGAGGCCAAGGCCAGCCCTTGAGTCACAGGAACCATCACCTGAGGCCACTGTGGCCTCTGGTCCCCCAGAAAAGGGGCCTCCCACCCAGAAGACTTCTCTCCATGCTCCCTGCAGCAGCCACACAAGCCCAGAGAGGGAGAGAGATGTATGAGCCTGGTGAAGTGGCTGGGGACCGAGAGATCACCTCTGTAAGTCACCTCAGAGTATAGATGGGGAAAGTGAGGCTCAGAGAGCAAGAAGAATGTTTCTGATACCCATGTGGCAAATCATTAGCCTCAATGGGCCCAAAAGTCAGACTCCCAACTCACAGCTCACTGCAAAACACTCAATTACTGAACTGAGCTAAAAATTTTTTTGCTGGAATTGCAGAAATTTAATTTGGACTAGGAATAGATGATATTAAGAATTATTTTTCAGAGCTGGCCAGTTAGCTCAGCTGGTTAGAGCATGAAGTTGATAACACCAAAGTCCAGGGTTTGATCCCTGTACCAGCCAGTGACCAAAAAAACAAACAAAAAATTATTTTTCATATTCTCAGCTAGGATAATGGAATAGTGGTTGCCATTGTTTTTTGATATGCATTCTGAAATATTCAAGGGTGAAATATCGTGACATCTATAATTTTTCAAACAATGACTGTCAAACAATGTTAATGACTGTCAAATCAAGGTATGACCATGGGGTTCTCATACTATTTCTTTTTCTATGTGGTTGAAATGTTTTATAATTAAGAAGTTTTAACTTAAGAAAAGTAATTCTGGAGGTAAAGACAGAGTTACTGACCAACTGAAGTAGTGTTTTTTACTGGGACAAGCATGAGTTTTGGAGCTGGCTAGATGTGGAATATGATTTCTGTGCAGCCTTGAGAAAGTCACAGTTTTTAAGCCCCAGTTGTATAATGGGAGTGATAAAAATTATCTCAAAGCTTGGTGAGGAGAAAGGAACGAGACAAGGGAGGTGGAGAGTCTTGCTTGTTTTGACCCGAAATTTGGATCACTGTCTACACGGCACCAGTGTCATCCACCTTTTTCCACTTGATTGTCTGTCCTTCCTTAAGAATTTCTGCTTGTAACTGCATCTCCTATTATCTTAAGGCCATGTGATTCTAAGAGTTTTGAGTGTTCACTAGAATATAATGTGTGGGAAGAGTGAGAATTCATTTTTCCTGGAACTAAAAATTCTTGCAGCCCAGAGTTTTAATCCCAACAGATCTTCAGCAAGTCACTTGGCCTCTCTGAGCCTCAGTTTCCTCCTCTGCAAAATGGGTGTAACCAGAGTGCCCCCTAGCCAAGTTGGGAGGAGAAAATGAAATTGGGGACCAAAATTGGGGTCCCTGTTAGGTCTCCCCAGGGTCCACACAACTGTCTCCCAGCTGCCACTGACCCCCATCCCGACTCTTTGCCCCAATACACACTTGTTGACCTTCTCAAGGTACACACGGGTATAAAAATCAAAGACTTATTCCCAAAGATAAATTCGTTTTCTAGATTCATGGTCAGCATGTATTAGCCAAAATAACGTTAAACTGGCATTCCTTCTAACTCAGCAATTCCATTCTTACTTAATATCATCATTATCCTTGTTTTAAAGATGGGGAAACTGAGGCAGAGAGCAGCTACTCAACTTTTCCATATTTCCACAGGCTAGGAATTTTCATATGCCAAGAACGGCAGGCACCCAGGTACCCTGCCTCCCAGAGTCCATGTACTGGGTACATGGCTGTCCCCATATATCCCAGAGAAAAGTGCAGACCAGAAGCTCCTCACAGGAAGACCATAGTGCATTATCTGAAATAATGAAAACACCAGAAACATCCTAAAAGTCTTTCCTTAGGCATATGAATAAACAGGAAAAAAGAAACCTGCAACTTATTCATATTATGGAATCCTATACAGAAGATCAAAAGAATGGATTAACTCCAAGTAGCAACATGAAAGGATGTCAAAACTAAAATCTAGAGTGAAAAAAATACAAACGAACAGTCTGAAAACATCTCTATAGAGAGTATTAAATAAGCCTGACAACTTAGGAAAAACAATTCATCTCTTCATAGGGAACTTATTCACTGTCTCTTTCTTTCCTTTTTTCTGGCAAATGATTGAATACATACTTTTAAATTTCACCTGGAGGTTGAAGAAAATATAGCAAGCTTATTGTTTAAAAATTCAACTAGCATATTGTTTAAGACTTAAAAGTTCCGCTCTTGCTCAGGGCATTCTTGCCATGTGATACCCTGCATTGCTGTGGAGAGTCTCCACCATCAGGAAGGCTGTCACCAGATGTATTCCCTGGACACTGGACTTCCCAGCCTCCAAAATGGAGCATCAGTCTGGAGAAAGGCAGGCAAGGCAGTGTCCAGAAGAGTTACGAGTTAGCTCCTGATGAGCACTGGCAGGACACAGATCATGATCAACTACAGATGACAATGCCCACCTTCAAAATCAGAATGATCTGCTCTCCTCGTCCCCAACATTCTTCTTCCTAAAGCTGTTAGTGACACACATGGGATATAGAAGAAAGTAATTAAGTTAAAATGAGGTCATTAGGCTAGTCCCTAATCCAATATGACTAGTATACTTATAAAAAGAGGACATTTGGACACACACACACCCAGAGGGGAGACCATGTGAAGACACAGGGAGAGAATGGCCATTGATAAGCTAAGGAGAGGCCTCAGAAAAAAACAACCCTGCCAACACCTTGATCTCACACTTTTAGCCTCCAAAACTGTGAGAGAGTAAATTCCTGTTGTTAAAGCCATCTGGTCTGCGGTCCCTTGTTACGGCAGCCCTAAGAAAGTAATACAGCTCACATAGTTCAAGGACCATCTGCTGAACAGTCAACCATGCTCCCCCCAATCCCTGAGGACAGAAGGTGGAGTTTGCTCCTGTACTAAAGCAATGAGTTTCCTAAACAAGTAAATATCTCTCTGGAGAAGGTTCAAAACATGTCGCTTAAAGCCTGAACAACAACAAAAAGCATATACCAAAATGCATGCCACAAAATGAATTCCACAAAAGATAAGCAAAGTCATCTCGGCTGGGAAGTTAAATACTTTAGTCTTCTGCCCCCAGAGCAAGTATGTTTCTAAAGTGATGATAAAGGGTGAACCCAGTGTTACCTGTCTACTCTCCGCTGATGCAGCCTGCAAAAGAGGTGTCTGCTTGAGAATGTCTGGGTCAATTACACAGTTCCCAGTTAGTTCTCTTATTTAAGAAGGCCCATTGCAGAAACCAGCTTTACAATTGCTATGGCAACACAGCCCTATAATAACCAATCTGGTACTTCATTTAAAAATATAACCAGAAAAGTGCAGAATCACCAAATAATTGAGGAAACACAACATGAAAAAAGGAAAGCCAAGATGAATAAACAGAGCAGATGACCTAAGAGAAAAGAAATACTGAAGAATCAGCTCTCTTAAAATTACCTTTAAAAGTGGGTATCTTAATTAAAAATTATCATTAATATCTTCAGTGGCCACAACGATGAATTCAGGGACGGACACGTGATTGAAACCCGGCCAGAAAATCCACCTGGAAACTTTTGCTTGAGACTTTTCTTTCTCTTTTCTTTTTGAAACAGCTTTAATGAAGTATAGTCAATACACAAAAATCTGCGCATATTTTATGTATACAATTTGATGAGTTTAGACATATATATACACCCATGAAACCACCACCACTTTCAAACACGGCCTAAGAACACATAAGCCTTAAAAAGCTGGGGATCATATTTGCCAGGATTCAAAAACTAAAATAAGACAACTTTTCTGAGAGTGAGGCCAAACAGAAGAAAGCAGAAAAGAAGAAAGAAGCAGTGGGGAGAGAGTGTGAGAAAATTCTGATGATGTTGTTTGACCTGCTAGATTTAACAGCTCAGAGCAAGAGTTTCTGCTGGACTTTTCAAGGACAAAGTTCAATGCATTTATTTGGGGGAGGGGGTGAGGCTTGAATTAATTTTGATCAAGTTTCTACTATTTGTAAGAAAAGTAGACCCATCTGTTCAAATGTCTCTTTACAGGAGAGGCTGTTTCCAGCTACCCTTGATCCAGCTACCTCTCTTACTTCTATTCCTCTCTACCCCCATTAACCTGTAATATTTTCTTTGCAGAATTTACCTCCACCAGACACTGATTGTTATGGCTGTGCCTGCCCATTAGAATGTTAGCGCTACAAAGGAGGTGATCACACCTGGTTAGTCCCTTCTGCGTCCTCAGGACCTTGAGCACTGCTTTGTCCATGCAAGAAGTGTGATGAGTATTTGTTGAATGAACAATGTATTTGATCCACATGAGAGTTTTAAGGTGCACTAATCACAGTAAATGTCTTACAAAGCAGAAAACTGAGGTTTTAAAGAAATGTCATAATTCGTCCAAGGTTACACATTAGTATATTGTATGTTGAGGATTAGAATCCAGATCTTTGGATGCCAAGTACAACCTACTTTCAATATTCTATACCTATGCAAAATCAACAAAATAGATTTCTGAGTTGGGGACAGAATTATGAATTTAAAAAATAAACACAATTTTCTGGAATGAAAATATTTCGTATGTTCAGAAAGCTTCACACAATTTTGCTTTAGGTTTAATTACATGTTAGGTGAAGATAAAAATTTCTTAATGAGTGATGACACAGCTCAACCCTTTCTAGAACCTTGTTGGTCCACAACCTGCAGTGGTGCCCTCCCATCTACAGGCCTGGCCAATGTTTCCTAAATCAGAGAGATTAAATTAAATTGCTTTTATTAATGATGGGTGAGTGTGGGATAAGGTTATGTGGCTTTTAAATTAGTATTACTTGCAGAGGAGGTATGAAATGAAAAATGGTAGGGCCGGCCCTGTGGCGCACTCCAGAGAGTGCAGCGCTTGGGAGCGCCGCGGTGCTCCCACTGCGGGTTCGGATCCTATATAAGGATGGCCCGTGTGCTCACTGGCTGAGCGCAGTGCGGGTGACACCAAGCCAAGGGTTGCGATCCCCTTACCGGTCACAAAAAAGACAAAAAATAAAAAATAAGAAAAATGGGAGGAGACAGAATATAAACTGGTATTATGAGGTTATGCTTGACTGATCACATTACTTTTGAGCCAGTGGTTTATGCCCCATTGTTAGAAGACCCCAGAAGCTGGTGCTTGTCTCTCTCAACTGAATATTTTAAACAAATAACAAATGAAATTTATGCATTGAAAACACGGAATTATTTTCTTTTTCTAAACTCTATCAGAATTTTAGATTTTACTTTAAATTACTTTCTACCACTTCAAATATTAACTACCATGATTGTTTTTGTTGTCAGAATCACAGAAATTGAGTGAATATCTTAATTTTACCACCTACATTTTGCCTCTTTATTTTTATAAAATATGACATTTATTAAGCACATAATACATAGCATGTAACTTTAAAAAAATAAAAAGTTTGAAAACAAACAAACAAAAAAGTTCCCTGTGTTTCCAGAATTTTTCAGACATTCTAATATAAATACACACACACACACACACACACACACACACACACACACACACACCCTCTCTCTCTCTCTCTCTCTCTCTCTCTCTCTCTCTCTCTGCCCGTCAGAAATCCGTAATAACTTCGTATAGCATACATTATACGAACTCTCTCTCTCTCTCTCTCTCTCTCTCTCTCTCTCTCTGTCTTGCTGCCCTGTATTATTTACAGGCTCATGTCTATGTATTTAAGAGAAATTTTTAAAATATCTGGGGAGACTGAGAAGGTATGACAAGGTGGTTTCTGGATCCTGGAAGAGAAGGAGGACATTAATAGGAAAACTGACGAAATCCCAGTGAAGTTTGAAGTTTAGTTAACAGTAATGGACCAGTGTTGGTTTTTTAGTTGTGACAAAGGTACCGTGATAATGTAATGAAAATGTAAGATGTTAACAATAAGGGAAACCAGCTGAGGAAAATTCAGGAACTCTGTACTATCTTTGCAACTTTTCTGTAGATCTCGAACTAGTCTAAAATAAAAAGTGTATTTTTAAAAAATCTGGAAGGTTCCACCCAAACCCAGCAACAGGAGAGGCCTGGAGAAGGGGAGAGGACTAGAATCCTGGGAGGGAGGGTTAAGGGCCTTCAATCTTATCTATAATGGGATAAATATTTAAGTCAACTTTATCCAGCCATTCCTTGTGCCATTCAAGTTAATTTTTAAAATATTTTATGAAAAGAAGACCTACGGCTTTCTTCCTGATTTGAAGTATATGAGTTCTACTTTTTCTCCTAAATCACAGATTCTCAACGGAGCAGGAAAAGCGTGGGGGGAGGAGGCTGAGACATCCGGAGCTGGTTCTACCCTGTCCAGGCTGTGGAACCTCAGGGGAGGGGAGACCCCTTTATGGGCCTCAGTTTCTCCCCTGGCAGATGGAAATACTGAACCTACCGATCCCCTTCATCCAGGATGGGGAATCCCGTGGAAGATGGTTCCAGGGCGTGACAAGAACATCCCCCAGGGTCTCTACCTATCCCAGCCTCAACTCTCCCACCTGTGTAATGGGGGTGCAGAGCAAGGCAGGGTTTGACACCGAGTAGGTGGGTGCTGGATCCAGGCAGAAGCTGAAGAGCGGGAGCGGGCTTCTTCCACCGGGGCTTACGCGAAGGCTGGCCACGCATCCGCTCCCCCCCGCAGACCCTCGATCTTCCCCCGAGGTCCCTCCCAGGTCCCAGTCTTCGCGCCCAGGGCCAGACGCAGACTTCTCGCGGCGGGTGCTCAGCCCCGTGGGGCCGGTCGCGTTCCCCACACCCTCCCGCGATGCCCCCTCCCACCCAGAGCCTTCCAGGCAGGGGCGGCTCGACCCGGCCGTCCCCCCCCACCCCCCTGAGCACGGGGCACTGGGACGCCCCGCTCCGAGGACAGGGGGACAGGGGCGGGGCACTCACCGTGTGCGCCGGCGGGTGAGCAGCAGCAGCAGCAGCAGCGCGGCCAGGAGGCCGAGGAGCACGGCCCAGGACATGGCACGGCGGGTGCTGCGGGCGGCGGCGGCTGCGGCGCTCGGCGGGGCT